CTTCTCTTCTCTTCTCTTCTCTTCTCTTCTCTTCTCTTCTCTTCTCTCTCTTTTTTTTTTTTTTTTTTTTTTAAAGATAAAAATTTAAAATTCCACTATGTTAATCATCCAGACTTATGCAATGCTTGAACTTGTATGGGCAGATTATGTACTTTGTATTCATTCCCGAGTGTGACACCAAACAGTGTTAAGCCTATGAAGGATTCTCTTAGTGAAGAAGATGATCACTGTTCAGAACTGAAAACCCCATCACTTGCATATGATCTCATTCTGATATTAATACTCAAGCCAATATGTGATATGTGGTCACAAATAATCCACAGCTGTATGCTGCTGAACTACAGATTTGTTAAAGGAATAAACCAGCATACATTTCTGTGTATAACAATCTAAAGCTTGCTGTGAATCATTTCTAAACTGAATTCTAAATTGAATTAAAATGTTACACAGTATGCGCTAGCTGGCTTCATTAAAAACAAACAAAGAAACAACAACAACAAAAAAATATAGAAACCCAAACAAACAGAAATTCCTGAACAAATTGCATTGGAATGCATTGACCTATTTACATTTGTAATATATTCACCTAATAGCAATTTTTGAGAACTGCTATTTATTCTTTGATGTTGTAAATGATACAGTTTTCTTTTCCTCCTTAACAAGGATTTCCTTGTTGTAGCCTGGCTAGAGTTTTGCAGGGTATTACTCCAACATATGTGTAAATATTTCTATATAAGGGATTCTACATCCTTTATATAGGAAATTCCAGAATAATGCACCAATATCAGATTATTATATCTGAATATTTTTCAGTATGCTAAGAGACTCGTGATGTGGACGTAGTCAGATATAGTGAGTAAAGGACAGAGGAAAGTTTGTGAATGTACTCTAAGTGAAATGAGACAAATGTGAGTTCCTAAGAATGAACTTCAAAGGTAAGTTTTGGCAAAGATTGGCGGTAAGTACAGAAGAGGAAAATATTCTTGTATCTTGAGTAAGACACTTCATCGTCTACCACGTCAGTTATTTAAATTCTGAATAGCAACATTATTTGGTGCTAGGTTATATTTTACTTTAATATTCATAAACACTCTGAGTATTTCAGTTGAAAGACACTGCTGTGGAATAGGATATTAGCTATGGAATGTATCAAGATGTTTTAATCGCAAGAAGAACTGCTTACAAATCTGGCATTCATGCCAGGTGTGTTGTATGACAATTTAGCATTTACTCTACATACAGTGCTGTCTTTGCTTTCGTACATTTTTTCATATCTATTTTCTTTGCTAAAGCTACATTATTTGAAAGAAAATGGAAATACTAAATGCTATATGAATTTGAATAAATATTATCTGTGTTTGCCTTAACATGCAATTTCTTTTCTTACTATAAAGCAAATAAGCCATTTTCTTAAGAAAACAGAGGCTTGATTGCTACAAACCGTAGCTTGCTATTTAAGCTATGAAGTCAAGATATGTTTTAATAAAATACAGCAGTTAATTAAATTCAGCTGTTTAGCAAAAGCAAAGACTGAGGAAAGTTGATCAAAAGACAACTCACTGCAGGGAGGTAAGGTTAAACAATAAAAGAACAGACATAAAGCTACATAGCTCTTTTTGTTAGGTAGCAGGAAAGCCATTTGCATTATTCATTTCACCCTCAGAAAAATAAACACAACAAAAAACAACAAAACCACCAAACTCCCCCAAACCAAC